CAGGAATGGTGGGTATCAATTAGAAAACATTCTAGTCAGCACACAACACACCAGCTTCCAACAACACAAGTTCCTTAAAGCCAAAGCTTTAAGCCAAAGCTACTTCTTGATGAGAAAATGCAGGGGGAAACCTGCCTTGTGGATTATGCAGCACTTGCTAAAGGGAGGAATGTAATCACCCCCTCCATGCAACAGCTATGCTGAACCTCCACAAATGAGCTACTGTTATTTATCAAGAAACAAGTGTTCAGCCAAGCCATAACACACTCCTACTTTCTTTTTAACAAGTCTTAGCTAGAGATTGCTTTGTTAAACAACAACAAAATATCTACAAATGCACAAGCATCTCTATTCCAACATTCCTGATTTTGCATGAAGCTATGATTAAAAGCACATCTTCTACCAAATCACCCTCGTACCTTGACCTGCTCCCCTAGGCTAAACAAAGAAGGCTTTATGAGTTTGTGACAGCCACCCCTGACTTTTATTCTTCCTTGCATGTTCTTGTTAGGATGGGCATGTTCACAGCAACACTGCCAGCAACAGACCTGTAACCGATCCTCCAGATCATTTACGATGCCTTCCTTTCTAATGCACAGGATCAATGCTGAGATACATAAACCCTTGGTCACTGTTCAGCCTTCAGATCTCAACCGAGTCAGTGCTGGCTGTTACAAACCTCAGCAGCAAACATAAGCTCTAAGAGCTCTGCTGGATAGCCTGACGTGCACTGCTGCATGTGACTTTGTGGTGAATCATGTGGAACACACACACACATATGGCAATTTTGCAACACTTAGCAGGTCTTTACATTAGGCAGATCAAGTTTTAAAGCTAAAATACATTCAATGTTTGTACAAATGCACAGGGGCAAAAACCCACAGCTAAGCCTGCAACTATGCTATGAAGCCCTTGCTACATCCTGCCAGTATACAACAGTTTTATATGATTGTTTTACCACTTCAAGGAAAAAACATCTGGACTGTAAGTACACAGTGTTTAGCTAATGCAAAGTTCCCTGCAGGGAGGGAATTAGTGATTTCTGCCAGGAGGCCCGTTACTGAGCACAATTCAAGACAATCATTACAGGGTAACAGCTTGGCTTTTTCCCCCCTCAGGAAAGTCTATGTGAGTTTTGCACCAGAACTTTTTACTGCAGCAGCTTGCACTGGGGATGATGGAACAAGCAAAGATGATTAAAAACTGCTTTCCAATTAAACAAAATGATCAGTGTTTGCGGTACACTCCTGCAAGGTAAAAATTTAATACACCACAAACTGAACCCAGTCAATTTATAGTAGGACAAACTCAACAGGATCACCAGGGCAACCCAGCAGACCCTCAGGTCATACATGTGCTGTGCAATCATCAGGCTTCCCAAAGACTGTTGGAACACACACCACATCCCTCCTCCACATTAAAGAGATGTGGATAATGGACTTTGCGCAAAGATTCTCCAAGACCTAAGTCCTCTTCCTCCAAACTACCACTGTCCTGATGAGAAATTTATCTCTAGCTGTTGGAAGCCACAGCTAACCTGATCTTTGCCTCTCAGCAAAAGCAAGCCTTTTTGCACATATTCCTCATCCCTTGTCTCTAGGAGACTGATGTCTGACCATACTCACTCTGCCAGAATCGCTCACCTGGAGCAATGAACTCTCCTCAGGAGGGCAGATGGATAGAAGGAACCATCCCTTTCCCACTTGTCTCCTATTGCAGGCCACACATCGGCCAGCAGAGACTGAGAAAAAGTGAGAGTAAAATCAACAGCAGTTTTGAAAAAGCCAGATCACTGATTTTACCTGTGGCTTTTAACTGCATCTGAAACCCCTGTCCTGCAGCATGCTCAGCATGAACAACTAGATTTCTGAAAGCTGCATTTCAAATTGCTGTACGGTTGGTTTTACTGCTCTTAAGGCATTAGTCCCTAGCACTAATTTTCTTGCAGATGTAAACTCCACACAGATGTTTCTGTAAATTGCATTGAAAATTGCCATTTATAAACCACTTGGTCATGGAGTACCCCTTTTGTATTGAATTGAAATTTTCTGTTGTTTATTTTGCCTTATATGAAGTTTGGAGCTTTCACTGTGAACTTGTCTGGGTGTCTGGTTTGTTGTGGGTTTTTTTTGTGAATTTCTTTTCTTGTGTTTCCCATTCCTGGTTGAATCACTTCTGTATTTGAATGACTATTGAATTATTTCTGTTGCTTAGTTCATTTCTGTCTTTGCCAAATTGTTAGTCCCCTGCCAGTACCTTGGCACTGTCCTGGTTAACAGATTTTGTGGTTGTTTTAGGAGAGCACATTGCTGAATGTTCCTGAAATAATATCTGACTTTTAGAGAATAGATTTCTCAAGCAGCATAAGGGCAAGCAATGGCCTACATTCATCCACAATCTGTTGACAGATGTATCTCATAATGACTTGCAACACTCCACTGACAAGCTACCTGTAGTAGAAGTGGTCAGCCAGCTTAAAACTGCAGCAACAGGCAATTCTGCCTGATTCTGGGCTCCTCTCCATGCTTTCATGGCTGAAGGCAGAGAAAGCCCTTCAGGTCCTGAAATGCCTGCTCTCACCTCCAGAAACTGTGGGGCTACCTCCACTGGTTCTCCGGTGACCAGAAAATGATGCGATCCTACTGCTGTGCTTCCTGTTTCACTTTTCAAATCTACAATTCAGATTAGTTGAGCATTGACAGCTTTCATCAGG